AGATGATGCTGGGGGTGGTGGCTGGACAAATAGAAGAATCAATATGTGTATACGTGCTCTTCAGAATTCCTAGGGAGGAAAGGGGGATATACATGAAGTGCACCACCCAGTTTGTTTGTTTGTTTTAATATCAGTAGGCACTAATGCAGTAATTCCTCATTATCTGGTATCAGGAGAAGGCAGTGTACTACATGGGAGGATTTTCCAGAAACCAAAACTAGCTTATGTGCCAAGACTTTCTTTCTGACATTGTGGAGGGTGGTATATCACAGAGGGAAATCCTGTAGTCAGAGTGGTAGAGCTGAGATCTTATCTTTGCCTTGAGCTGGTCCTTGGCCTTTCTTTCCTAATTTGTAACCTACCTTGTGGCATGAAAAGGGATTGATGCATAGGAAAGTCATTGGTGTGGTATATGGCACTTGGTGCTCAAATGTTAGCTCTTATTTATTACTCTCAGAAGGCACTGTATCCACCACTGTTTTCTTAAATGGAAGACACCATACAGCCCAGCCTACTCTGATTTAACACCATCATGATGAGAATCTATGATCAGACCAGGACACAGCAGAGCTCTGATTCTGCTTTTCAACATTCTCTTTTCTTCTTTCCTGAATGCCGCATCTGATGATAGTCCTCATCTCTAGCCCCCTTTACTAATTGCCTCCTTTCATCCACTCTCTACTAAGTAGCTAAATGACACAGTGGGTTAAAAATTCTATCTTAAAGAAAATTCAAGGCTCTGAAAGGAAGTATAAGCATCTAGATTTAGTGCCAGGATTTTGCTACAATCAAATCCAGGAACTCAGAGCACTTCTCCTGCAAAACGCTTGACCAGCAAAAAACTGAAAAACTAAAGTGTTTTCTACTTAGTAAACATTTTCCAATTAATTAGAGTAGAATCTCGAAAGTTGGAGCCTGAAAGGACTTTAAATATCGTGGAGTCAAACCAGCATTTTACAGATGGGAAAACTGAGGCCCAGGAGTGTGTGGGATTTGCTGAAGGTCACACAAGTGTTTTACAGTGATAAAACCAAAAACAAATTCCAATCTTCTGACATCTAGTCTAGTACTTCTTCTGCAAGACCACGTTATCTCTCTTTGTTGAATATTTATTGTGACAGATTCAAAGAAATGCCTTACAACTACTAATTATATTTCTCAACACTTAAACAGTGAATGCACTCTCCCACAGGCCTCTGGCCTAGAGTCTTGTGCTCTCTGTTGCTGCTCTGGTTTAACAGCTTGAAGGTCAAACGTTGAAGCACTCTGGGGGCCAGTGTCTACTCAGTGTAAATCCAAGTCAGGCAACTCTGAGCCATATTTGTTTAGAAAGTAGGGGGTAAAATGTACCCTCTCAGCCCTAGAGGATAAAGCACTCAGTTTAAAGAAAGAGAGATTTGCGGAAGGGAAAAATAGGGATGGAATTTGAGAGGGGAAAAAATATCCTGGCCTCCTCTGAGTCTTAGGAGTTGATCATTTCTACCTCCTCCCGCTTCCTCCACCCCCATCACACCCTTTCCTCCTGTGCTTCTAAAGCCCTAGCAAGAAACACTAGCCATCAAGGCCCCAGAGGCCCAGCTAAATGTGTGAAACCAAGAAGATGACAGGAGGGAATAGACCTGGAACATAAGATTCCTATCCCACAGGATAATATTTCATTGCAGCGAGGGGAGAAGAGATCCTAAAAATACTGTAGAGAGCATATTATAATGTTTTAATGGGGTTTATGTGCTCCCCATCTCTACTTTACCCTGTAAGATGGATTGTGCATTTTGACAAATCCATATTTAACATGGGGAGAATAATATATACAATGTTTGCTTCCTGGTGGAGAAATCCATTTTTACGGAAGTCTTGGCTCTGGCAATTGCAATCGACATTTTAAGAGAGTGCCTATTGTCTGCTGTGAAAGGAAAGAGTGTCCTCATTAGAGTGAAGGAGAAAATAGCGAGAGTGGTGGGGAATGAACAGCCACCTCAGAAGACAACTACCCAAACAGGTGCTAATGATCAGACAACTACCTAGAACAGCAGGCCCAGGGTGACCCAGCAGTCGTCTCGGTTGGGGTTCAGCTCCTCCTCATCTCCTCCTGTGGGTCCTGTGTCCCACTCAGCATGTGTTCATTATTCATGAAGCAAATATTATTGAGCATCTGCTATGTCCCAGGCACCATGTTGGTCTAGGGGCACACAAGCGACCCCTATTTCCAGGGAATTTGTATTGACCCAAGCAGTGACAAACATATACAAGTAAACAAAAAAAAAAAGATCTCACATTGTCTAGGAAGCGTTGAGGAGCCCTGGTGGCACAATCATTGAGTGCTCAGCTGCTAACTGAAAGTTTGGGGGTTAAAATCCACCAACGGCTCCTTAGGAGAAAGACCTGGCAGTGTGCTCTCATAAAGCTTACAGCCCAAAAAACTCTATGGGGCAGTTCTACTCAGTCATATTGGGACAATGTGAGTTGGAATCTACTTGACAACACGCAAAAACAACAGGAAGCACTGAGCTTCTGTTTATGGTGATGGACAATTCAGCACCGGATGTCGGTGATGGCTGCAGTGTGGTTGATGTAATTGGTGTCACTGACTTGTACCCATGAAAATGTTGAAATGACAAATCTTGGGGGTTATATATATATTTAGATATATATATATTTATAATAATCAGAAAAGAAAAGGAGAAAAAAGAAAATGATTTCATATAATGATGACTTCAGCAAGGGAAGGAATTAAGACAGGACAGGGTAGAGATACTACTTAGATGAGATGGCCAAGTAGAAATACTACTTAGATGAGATGGCCAAGTAGAGATACTACTTAGATGAGATGGCCAAGGAGGGCCTGTGCAAGGAGGTGAGATTTGAGCTGAGGTATAACTGCTGAGAAGGAATCCTCCTTACAAAAAGGCAAGGGAAGAGCATTGCAGGCAGAGGAAGCGAACAGCCAAGGCAGAGTCTCCCAAGGCAGAATGAGTTCACAGCCCTGAGGAACTGAGCAAGGGCCAGTGTGGCTAGAGTAAAAAACAAGAAGCAAAGTGTGTCAGGTAGGAGAGGGCAGAGGGCAGACTCCTCCAGCTCTGTGTCGTGGTCCTAAGTTTGGGGTTTTCCTGTGTGCAATGGGAAACCTGAAAATAACCCTTTAAGAAGTTTTGCACAAGGAAGGGAAACAATGTGTTTTGTTTGTTTTTGTTTTGTTTTGTTTTGAATTAATAAGATGCTTCTAGCTTTGGGGTGGAGAATGGATTTCATTGCTGAAAACCAAATGCCACACAGCTAGAGGCCATGCTCACCACCTTCAGATATGAGGGGAGCTGTGGAGTGGGTTAAGAACAGACTTCCGTGAGGTTCTGGTTTTAAAGAATGGTTATCACTAGACTGGGAGGTCTTGGGAGGTAGTGAGTGCCCAGTAACCAGAAACATGCAAGCAGGTGCTAATATCATCTGCATGTTTCCTATAGATGGAATGCTGGTTTTGAGTGGGTGGGAGTTTGGACAGATGACTTATATGACTCAGCCCGAATCTTTAAGAGATGATGATCTCTCTAGGGACTGACTGGGAACTAAGACCCACAGTAGGCAACCAGAGACCAGTGTTTAATTGCATTATTTAGTGCAGCATGACCCAAAGTATCTTCAATAGCATGTGAATAAGTACGCACCAAAAAAGCATTCTGGGACAAATAGATTTGGCAAAGGTGGGCTTAAAGTTAAACAGGATTCATTTGTGCAGCCCCTCTCACAATCTTTTATGCTAGTGTGCAACATGAAACTCCAAGGTAGGGACAGGGTGTACATCATTTTCCAAACGTATTGGACGAGAGAAGCCTTTTATTTTTTTTTTAAGGAGCATCTCATGGGAGTAATGTTGCATGGGATATATTTGAGGTCATGAAAGCAGGTAATGCGATAAAAAGAGCAGAAGACCTAAGACCATTAACTTGTTCATCTTAAAAAACAAATTGATAATGATAGTGATGAGGACTAAATAGCCTAATATATGTGAAAAGACTGCAAAGTGCTCTAAAATACTGTTATGACAATGACTCACCTGCCTAACTATCCATACTGGGAGATTAATTTTCAGGCATTGAGGCTGGCGTTGGGGTTTATCCTCTGACCAGGACAGACTATGAACCCTCATCCTGTATCACATATTAAAATGCAGCTCAGTAGCTGACTGACCTGGAGTTTGACCTTGATCTTACTGGCCTTGTATTCTAACCAGCAGTCTAACCAACTACAAACCAGGATTGGTAACTTCACAGGGATCCTACAAACTGGATCCTGTGGGGATGTCTGCAAAGCTAAGCTATTGCCATGGCTGATACACTGGGCAGCCTGAAAATCAGCTAGCAGGATGTACAAACACAAAATAAGCATCAGCAGAAAAATGTGCACTGAAAGCTAAGGGCTAGGCTGGGAAAATAAACACTTGTTTTCTTAAACCTGTATCAGCAGCAATAGCCGGCAGACCCGCTTCTTAGCATCTTTTCATACTTCACCTTGGGCAGGGTAATGGACAGATCAATGGATTGGGAGATATCTGCCCAATTCAAATACGTTCTAGCTGTGCTAACTTAGAAACATTCATTAACTTTCTTTCCCTTTGACAGAGGACCCACTCCTCCCTTTCCTACATTAACAGGATGGTTGTAGAGATAAGTGAGATAACACATGAAAATGCTTTGTATACATGACTTCTATAATTAATAACCATGACAACATCTGGGATATAAGAGGCACCTAATAAATATTGGATTAGACGGATGGGTAGATGACTGAGTGGGATGGAAAGATGAGTAGGATGGATGGACAGCTGGATAGATTGGTGTGTTGGAAGGATGGATGGACTGATTGGTTGGATGGGTGGGTGGCTGTATAATAGATAGATGGATGAGTAATGGGTTGGATGAATGGACTGATGCATGAATTACTTTTGGAACCATCTGACAGCTTGTTTGCAGCATCTACTATCCATTAATCCTTCTCTTCTCTTCCAGTCTGTTCCCAGTTCTCCAAAGGAGTCTATGCCATCTTTGGGTTTTATGAGCGGAGGACTGTCAACATGCTGACCTCCTTCTGCGGGGCCCTCCACGTCTGCTTCATTACCCCGAGCTTTCCTGTTGACACATCCAATCAATTTGTCCTTCAGCTGCGCCCTGAGTTGCAGGATGCCCTCATTAGCATCATCGACCATTACAAGTGGCAGAAGTTTGTCTACATTTATGATGCCGACCGTGGTAAGCCATGGGTCGGGGAGGGGGCCAATTGAAGGATGGAGAGAAAGTCACCAGAAAGAAGAATGATGTCTCCCTGCTTCCCTGAGAAGTATGGAGAGATGATCCAGAAAAGTTTTATTTCTGTGGATTGATGTCTCAGTGGCTAATCTCTAACTCACACTGTGGAAACACACCCTTTGAAAGAGTAATCCTTTCTCCACGCATGGCACTGTATGCCTCATCAAGCTTCCATAACTTCTGAGTCTAGACTCAAAGCCCACGGACCTCAGTCAAATGTCTCATAGCTCACAGCATGATTGTTAGGAACATAGTCTCTGGAGCCAGACAGACTTTGGGCAAGCTTCCTATGCCTCAGTTTCCACATTTATGCAATAAGGATACTATGTCATCATTTCTTCCTCTCTATACTGGGGATAAAAACAATCTCTACAGAGTTGTTGTGAGATTTAAATGAGATTTGTGCACAGCGCCTGGCACATAGTAAATCCTTGATATACATCAGCCACTATCATCGTCCTCACCATATCATCATCATCAAACCTTCCATGCTTTTGCAATTCTTCCCCTACTTAAATATTTAATTTTAGTTCACATTTTTCAAATGCTTCCTGTGCTTTTTTCTTCTCTGCTTCCTCACTCATGTTAATCCCTTTTTCTAGAATGAAGGTCCCCTCTCAAATCTGCATGCGTAAATCCTTCTACTCTTCTGTGACCTGCTCAAACACCACTTTCCCTATTTCCTGATACTCTGGATAGGGACTTTCTTCCTTTTTCTGGCTCCTGAAGTGTTTGCGTTATAATTCCCCACCTTCCCCTTGAATACCAAACGGTCCTCTAAGAACTTAGTCACTATCGGTGTAAATAAATGAATGTATCATTCAAGGCCTCCTCGGAGCTGGGGGAGAGGAGTCTTACCCTGATGTGTTACAAAAATGCTTTTTCAGGAAGAGTTAGATGGACATTATTCACATGGGAAGGAGCAGGCAAAGAGAGAGACCAGAAACCCCCTGTTTGTGTCAGTTGTCCCTTTCTCTCTCCCTTATTTTGATGATTTCCCTTCTCAGACCACAGCCATTGTGGTTGTCACCTGGAGAAGGACTATTTCAGGACAACTTTGCAGCATAATGAAGCTGAAGGCCAGGAAGTGGCAAAGCCAGAAAAACATAACTGTGCTTTTAGGGAGCATCTCTGAGGCCTGCAGAAGCACCTGCGCTGTTGAAAGGGCTCTGTCTACCTCCGAACACTGAGATCAGAGCTCTGCCACTTGCTAGCTGTGTGACCTTGGGCCAATGACTGAATGAATGTCTCTGAGCCTCAATTCCCATGTCTGCAAAACAAGGATAATGATACTAGTACCTACCTAACAGGATTAAGTGAATTAAAAACAGGTAAGATAGTAGAGAAGGAGCCCTAGTGGCACAATGATTAAGTACTCAGCTGCGACCAAAAGGCCGACGATTCAAACCCACTAGCCACTCCATAGGAGGAAGATGTGGCAATCTGCTTCCATAAAGGTTGCTGCCTTGGAAACCCTATGAGGAAGTTCTACTCTGTCCTATAGGGTCATTATGAGTCAGAATCAATTCAACGGCAACAGGTTTGTTTTTTTTTTATTTAAGCTAGTAGAGGAGTCCTTGGGTGGCACAAACAGTTAAGCACTGTGCTACTAACTGAAAAGTTGGCATTCCAAACCCAGCCAGAGATGCCTCAGCAAAAAGGCCTGGTGATCTGCTTCCAAAAGGTTCACAGCGATGAAAACCCCATGGAGCAGAGTTCTACTTTGACACACATGGGGTCCCCATGAGTCTGAATCAATTTGATAGCAACTGGTACTGGTAAACTAGTAGAACAGTACCAGACTCATAGTAAACTTTCAGTAAATGTAAGACTCAAACACACCAAATAACCTGTACTGAAAAAGAAACAAAGAGAGGAAGACTTAGCAGAATCCATCTAGATATGATTCTGGAGGGCAGGCACCATATTGGTTACTGTGGGAGTAATAAACTGTGTTACTGGGAGACAGAATTGATTTATGTACAAAAGATTGATGCAAGACTGAAATCACCATCTGTGGTAAGCAGAATAATGACCCCCCAAAGGTGTCCATGTTCTAATCCATGAAACCTGTGAGTATGTTATCTTACATGACAGAGGAGAATTAAGGTTGCAGATGGACTTAAGGTTGTTAATCAGCTGACTTTACTTTTTTTACTGTTGTAGTTTAAATGAAGTTTACATTTCAAGTTAGTCTCCCATACAAAAATTTATGCATACCTTGTTAAGTGACCCTAATTTCTCTCCCCGTATTGTGACCGCACACTTCTCCTTTCCACCCGATTCCCCATATCCATTCAACCAGCTCCTAACCCTTTCTGTCCTCCCAACTCACCTCCAGACAGAAGCTGCCCATTTAGTCTCTTGTATCTACTTGAGCTAAGAGACACACTCCTCACGAGGATCACTTTATGTCCCACAGTCCAGTCCAATCCCTGTCTAAAGAGTTGGCCTCGGGAATTGTTTTAGTTCTGGGCTGATAGAGAATCCAGGGGCCATACTTTCTGGGCTTCCTCTAGTCTCAGTCAGACCATTAAGTCTGGTCTTCTTACTAGAATTTGAGTTCTGCACCCCACCTTTCTCCTGCTCCATCCGGGACTCTCTGTAGTGTTCCCTATCAAGGCAGTCATTGGTACTAGCCGGACACCATCTAGTTCTTCTGCTCTCAGGCTGATGAAGTCTCTGGTTTATGTGGCCCTTTCTGTCTCTTGGGCTAATACTTTCCTTATGTCTTTGGTGTTCTTCATTCTTCTTTACTCCAGGTTGTTGGGACAAATTGATGCATCTTAGATGGCCGCTTGCTAGCTTTTAAGACCCCAGATGCCACTCGCCAAAGTAGGATGCAGAACATTTTCTTAATAAGCTTTGTTCTACCAATTGACCTAGATGTCCCCTGAAAGCATGGTCCCCAGACCCCTAGCCCTGCTACTCTGTCCCTCAAAGTGTTTGATTGTATTCAGGAAACTTCTAAGCTTTGGTTTATTCCAGTTGTGCTGTAATCAGCTGACTTTAAAATAGGGAGATTATCCTGGATTATCTGGGTGGGCCCTAAGTAATCACATGGGTTCTTACACGTGGAGGAGGGAGGCAGAAGAGTCAGAGTCAGAGTCAGAGTGATGCAATGTGCAAAAGACTCAACCAGTGATCACTGGCTATGAAGATAGAGGAAGGGTTCATGAGCCAAGGAATGCAGGCAACCTCTTCCAGAAACTGGAAAAGTCAAGAAAATGGATTTTCCCCTACAGCCTCTAGAAAAGAACACAGCCCCGAGGACCACTGATTTTAGCCCAGTGAGACTCATTTCAAATGTCTGAGCTCCATAACTGTAAGATAATAAACTTGTGTTGTTTGAAGCTAGTAGGTTTGTGGTAATTTGTTATAGCACCAAGAGGAAATGAACTCAGCATCTAAGTCTCAAACATGAAACAAAGCAACAATAAGTGACAAACTCTTCTACCCGTTTAGCTATAAATTAGAAGAGTGTACTCAGTACACATTTATTTAACAAGTAGCCCTGGTGGTGTAGTGGTTAAGTGTTTGGCTGCTAGCCGAAGTACCTGCAGTTCAAATCATCCACCTGCTCCACAGGCTAAAGATGTGGCAGTTTGCTTCCATAAAGATTACAGCCCTGTGGGACAGTTCTACTCTGCCCAATAGGGTCACTATGAGTCAGAATTGACTCAACACAATGGTTTTGTTGAATACCTACTGTGTATGAAACACCATATTAAGTATTAAGGATATATTGAACATTCACTCATTTAATCAACAGTTAAACAAATGAAAAACACCATTGCCATCAAGTTGATTTCAACTCATGATGATCCCATGTGATACCGAGTAGAACTGTGCTTCATAGGGTTTTCTTGGCTGTAATCTTTACAGATCACAGGCCTTCTTTTCATAGTGCTGCTAGGTGGGTTTGAACTTCCCAGCTTTATGTTATTAGTTGAGCGCAAACTATTTGCACCACCAAGTGGTGCAAACCAAGTTACCAGATGCCTATTTAGACACTAGGACACACAGTGCCCAATAATAATAACAATTAACTTTCATGAACCCCTTGCATCAGGATCGACTTGACAGCAGTGGTTTGGTTCACCGTGTATCAGGCGCTGCCATGTATGAGGACTTACACAGTCAGAGGAAGCTGGAGCTGAGCTTGGTGGAGGAGTGTGGCATGGACTGAGGGAGGTGGGTACCTGGAGGAAGTGGGGTGATGCCTGTGTGTCCTGATTGTCTGCCACTTCTCTGTCCTACACACCCAACCTCCAGGCTTGTCCGTACTGCAGAAAGTCCTCGACACAGCTGCTGAGAAGAACTGGCAGGTGACAGCAGTCAACATTTTGACAACCACAGAGGAGGGATACCGGATGCTCTTTCAGGACCTGGAGAAGAAAAAGGAGCGACTGGTGGTGGTGGACTGTGAATCGGAGCGCCTCAATGCCATCCTGGGCCAGGTAGAGAGGGCAGCAAGGGCACAGGGTGGGCAGTGGAAGCAAAGGGAGCAGGAGCAGAGGGAGGAAGAGGGGTATTAAGCTGCTTTTGATGGTTCATTCAATCATTTATTCTTTCATTCATGCCACAAATACATATTGAACACCTACTGTGTGCAAGGCACCATGCCAAGCACTGGGGACGTGGCAGAGAATAAGGGAGACAAGGCTGTGCCTTCACAGAACTTCACAGATAAAGACAGCAATCCCATGATCAAGTAAATACTGTATGATTGCATAAAAATGCTACTAATGTGCAGGATATTATGAAGTACATAGGAATGAGGTGGAGATAAAAACGGTGTGGGATGGGAGAAAAGACCAGATGGAGGTCAGAAAACATCAGTCTAGATCGGTGTGACCAAAATGCTCATTTCTTTGTTTCTCAGTTATTCCATCAACAAAATGAGGTTCTAATACCTTATCTGATTGCCTCCTGAGGCCTTGTATGAAATGGCAAGACAGTCCATTGGACTATGACAGCAGTGATTACTGTTGTTAGTGTCGTTATCATCTTCAACGATAATAATAACGGCTATAATTTCTTAAGTGTCCATGCTGTTGCATATACTGTGCGAGGTACATTACATACAGGCAAAGATCCATGCAATATCATTCTACAGATACTATTATCAATCCCATTTTATGAACAAGTGAGAATCTGAGAAGTAAACTAGGAGATTTCTCCCAAGACTAAGCAGAAGATTAGGATGCAAACCCAGGTGTTTTTGCTTCGAGAGTTAGTGGGTGGCCCGGGCAGAAGGATCACTGCTATAAGCCTGTGCACATTTGTTGATGTTGCAGGCATGGTTCCAGGTCCTGAAGTTAGAGTTGGGGTAAAATAGACATAATCCTGTCCTTACGGAGTGTATGCACTTGAGAGAAACAGAGATTAATCAGATAATCAGGCAAATAAAAGTAAACTTACAGTTCTGATGAGTACTCTGAAGGAATGTTCGTGGTGACTGGCAGCAAGCTTTTAACCACTCTAGGTCTCAGTTTCTACATCTGAAAAATGGGGATACTAACATCACCAACTTCATAAGGTTTTCCTGAGGATTTAATGAGCTAACATATATAAAACTCTTGAATCTGTACCTGGGATATAGGAAATGCTTAACAAGTATTAACTAGGAGGAGTAGGAATAGAATTTGGCCATCTTAGGTTGTCAAGAAAGGCTTCTCTGATGAGATGATCATTGTGCTAAGGTCTGGAGTTTGAGGTAGAATTAAACAGAGGTAGATGTGGGGATGGAGGCCAGAATGGCGATGAGAACTTGGGTGTGAAAAGGCACATTGTGCCTTCTAATAATTGTATATTTGGAAACTTATTAAACCCTTTTTTTTTTTCCAGTTCCATTTTGAGGTTGTTAAGGTTTAAAAATTAAAAAGGTTGTATTACCTGGTGGTGACACAGAGAAGATTGTTTCTGTCTTCTTTGTAGATGTGGATGGGGAAGGGGCATAAGTCGGTGTGGAGGAGGTGGGTCTAAACCTCCTAGAGCTTGAGAGGTTTCTCTTTATTCTGAAAGGAACTTGGATTTAAAAGTTCAAGACACTGATTGAGTTCAGCCCCAAGTGTGTGCCCATGAGGTCTCAGGAGGTGGTCTGTCTCACCCAGGTTGACCCGGAGTGACAGACATAGGCAAAAAGAACTCGCGTCTCTGGCTCCTTATTTGTTATTCTTTCTGTTGCACCCTATATCTCTCCTAAAGGATAAAAAGATGGAAGGAGCCCTGGTGACTCAATGGTTAAGCGCTTGGCTGCTAAGCAAAATGTTGGTGGTTCAAACCCACCCAGCAGCTCTGCAAGAGAAAGGCCTGGTGATCTGTGATGTTTCCATAAAGATTACAGCTTTGAAAACCCTATAAGACAGTTCTACTCTGTCACATCAGGTCTCTGCAAGTGGAAATCGACTTGACAGCACCCAACAACAACAAAACATTATGCTGTGTAATGGGAGCACTGAGCAAAATTCCTCCCTAGGGAAGCTCAGTTCGAGAGCACCATTTCTTGCTGGGAATTCAGCCTGTGCCTCCTGAACAAGGGCCAGGCCCTCCCTGGTGCTGCCCCTTATGGTGGGCTATCAGTGGAGCGTTCACAGCTAAGGAATGTCCACCTGTTACCAACATCCTCCTCCAACTCCTCTTAAAATGAAAAATTAGAAGCTTTCCTTCCTTGCTGCTTTTATCTATGGGAAGTTTTCTCTTTTTGAACATAAAAGATGTGAAGCACCCCAATTTCGGAAGTCAGTGAAGTTGGCAAGGAACCAACTAGCCCAGCGGTTGACAAGCCTTATGCCAGCATTGGCCTGCCGTGGGTCCCTCACTCTTTCTATCTTTCTCTCAACAAAGACGCTTGAATCACTAAATGACTGTCTTGCCTTGAAACTGAAAAGCAAGATGAAGGAGGATCCAATGGGCAGAACTAAGGCACAGGGACAGAAGGCTGACTTTGGCTCAGAAGGAAGAATTTTCATCCAGAAAGCACACCTCAAAATGGAGTGAACTTTCCTTGGGGGCATTAAGCTCCCAGTCCATACAGGTCTTCAAGAAGGAGCTGGATGACCATAAAGAGGGTTCTTGCCTAGGTGAAACTAGATGTGTTCTTTTTTACATTCTGTAATTTCTTAATTTTGAAATGTTATGAAATAGTACATGTAATGGAAGCCTTGATATAGGACATAAATGGTTTTTAGATCAATTGACCAAAGACCTACTTGCCCTCAATGTTTACCTTTATCTTTACAAAATGCATTATGTTGCATTTTAGAGTTTACAAAATGCTGTTATATTAGGAACAGGCTGTGGAGCCAGATTCCTGGGTTCAGTTCTGGGCTTTGTCACTCACTGATCTGGTATTTGGCAAATCATCATTTGGCTAGCTGACCTGGTTTAAGAGTCCAAGGAGGTAGCAGGCAACTCCCTTTCTGCTATATCCTTAAACACAGTTTCTTTGTAAGAAATCGATTGTACATTCTATGAGCAGACACTGTAACCTCTTTCTCTGGTTCTCAGAACTAAAGCATGTGCTCACCACAGAACTAGCAGGCCTTAGTGCAGATCACTAGTCCTTTGAAACCACATTTGCGTATTCAGATGTACTAGCAAGGAGGTAGATTATGCAATCGTTTTTGAACAGTGTCATATATTAAAGATGGTCCCTCGCTCTTTCTTTCTCTCAACAAAGAAGCTTGAATCACTAAGTGACTCTCTTGCTTTGAAACTGAAAAGAGAGATGAGAGAGGATCCAATGGGCAGAACTAAGGCACAGAGATAGAAGGCAGAGGAAGGCAGACTTCGGCGGCTCCGTAGGAAGGAGAATTTGGTAATTAGATAACTGACAACATTACAAAGTTTGTTAATGGCCTTCAGAACCACTGGGGGCCCCACAGGGAATCGCAACAGCAACTCAGCAATCACTCAAAGGTCTCAGCAACTCAACAGGGGGTACATTTTGAAAGCCATGGGTTCTTTAAGGCATTAACCATATGTGTCCTGCTGTACGAAGCAGAATCTGGCCTCCTCTCTTGGAAAAAGAAACCAGCAAGAACTATTTCCATTGACATGGAGGTTCTCTGGGATGGGATCAGGGGAATTAAGTTCCAGTTTTTAAGAGAGCAGCATAG